CATCATGTATCATCATCATGTACCATATCATCATGTATCACCATCATGTATCATCATCATGTACCATCATCAATATCATCATGTACCATCATCATCATCATCATGTACCATCTCCATCATCGTCCTCATTTTCATAGACCAATCAAGCGCTTTCTYMATCARGTTTGAGCATGACTGACTACCCTAAGATATCTACAATTTTTCAACGATTCCCAAACTTGTGTAACAGTCTCCTTAACCGCTACGTCCTCCACAGGATTGCTAATTCYATCACTATCCCGAGCTGTTAGYGTGCTTTGTCCTTTTCTCTTCACAAACCGACGTTTCATTCGGACAACMCGATAAACCACCGACCAACCTKCCTTGACTTCGGAGCCMTTCGGCATAACATCGGAAGGTTTCCGTGGTACGATTACAACGGGAACGTTTTTGCAATCGGCTACAGCTCGTTTGGGTTCTTTCTTTGGACWATTTTTTCCTCTGTTTGACGGCATTTCTGTGGGTTTTGCAATTGATCTTTGTACCGTCGGATGCTTCCGAACATCTTCGGAACTTTTACGACGGACATCTGGAAGACTCGAGGATTTAACGAGCGCTCGACGAGTGCCTGATTTTGAGGAACCACCCCTCTTTYTCTTACTTCCATGCTTTCTTCTTTTAACTTGTTTTGGAGCATCCACTAACTTATTAACAGAAATTTCGGGCAAACCGAAGGATTTTCTAGAATTTTGGCGTACTTTTTCGAGGTCGTTGTTTGCTTCAGAATTTGTAAGTGTATTTCCTACTTTGGTTTCTTCCTCTTCKGTTATATCATGCTCTAACTTCTCACAATTCTTTTTCTCTGAATTCCTGCTCATTAAATCTATGTCATTAACGTGCTTGGCAGTGTCTAATATCAGTACCGGTTTTTCCAGTTCTTTAACTTTGTCAGAGGATCTTGAACTTCTAGTTACATCACGAAGTTTCTCATTGTCAAAATATTCTATTCTTTCCTTCACGTTTGAATTGCAATTCTTCGGGCACAAATGCCCATCCTTGACAGATGGTAACGCAAAGTCTTCACTTTTTTCAACATCTTTTTTGATTTCATCATTCCGTATCGATACTGAAGTAACAGAGTTAACAAGTAACTGCGGCCCTTTCTTGACAATTTTTCCAAAACGATTCACTTTTGAGCAACTAGATGCCTTCGTCTTTTCCATCTCCGATACTTCCTTCTTTTGAGGTTTTACTTTTAGAGGAAACTCTGGTCTCTTTTCCATATTTTGATCCGCCTCGACGGAGCTTTCAAAYCGTTTTCCTAATTTCTTCTCCTGCGCTGTGCGAAATTTATTCGACTTGAAAAGAAACAAGGAATTCTCTTTCTTCATCTGTTTTTCAAGAGCGTTTTTGTACTTTTCCAGTTCCTTGCGACCAGCTTTGGCTGTGGCTGTAATAACTTTGCCACTTTCTACACGATTGTTCGCGGCCATTGGTACTCTCCTGCTCACAGGGCTTAGTGCTTGCTTCAATTGRTGCTTCAACTTTTATGACAACCAAAACTACTTAAAGCGATCTAGAATTCATCTAAAACCTTAGGAGAGGAAGTTCGACGCAATCTACTTGCCAAGATGCATATCGGAATGTACTTTTACTTTATATATCTTTTTGTTTTAAAAAAAAATTTCTTGAAAAAAACGGTAGGATGATTGTATCACCACCCGGTCAATATAACAAGATTTATATCCTCATTACCACTTTTAATGAGGAATCACTTGTGTACTTTCAATCTAAGCCTCTGTTTCCTTACTGGACAAGATAATGATCAATCCCCAAATTCTCCTATAGCACACTTAGAAAGGTTTTTAATGAAGTGTTAACGGCTTCCTGGAGAACGTACTTTGGGAGAATTTGAAAAATATACAAAGAGTATATTTTAGTACGTTTTTGTCAATATMGTGTATTCTTTGGTTTTGAATAAAAAATGACGAAAGAAGTGTTTCAGGAAATAAGAGAATTTTTTTCTCTTATTTTTATGAGATGAATATATCAACTTTTGTGAAAAAAGGAAAATAAAAACTCTTGCGAAGCGAAAACCCATTTTGACAAAAAATAGTCATTTTCTTGCCAATTATCAAGATGAAGACCGACTACGGCATAGCGAAAAAAAGCCATTTTTATTGGTTTGAGAATATACCATAACGAGTTTTGATGCTATTTTTTATCGAAAAGAAGCTGTATTTTTTTGTTTAAAGAAAGGTGAAGACCCATTTTGACAAAACGACTTTTCAAAAAAAAGTCGTTTTATTTTCTAACGAAGTGATCCCAAACAAAGTTTTAAAAAAGCTCTTGCCTGTTTACTACGAGTTTAGGAGCTCGTGTAGYATCATTAAGATTTTTTTTCTTTGGAAAGTAACTTTTATGCCATATTGTTGCCATTTGTTCTGTTTGTCAAAAATTTCAAATCTGATGGGAGTGGTCTTAATACAGTGGAAAGAAAAACGCCAAGGTAAAACCTGACTGTGTTCGTTTTTGTCGAGATAAAGCCCTTTGCTGTTTGAGAGTTTATATGCACGCTTTTAAGAGATAAAGAAAAATAGGCGGAGATTCCTTGAAATGAATRAACAAAGGGTGGATTTCCGGTGCTATCCAACTGTACGCTATGACGTAGGATACCACAGGCAACCCAATCTAAGTATTACAGTTGAATACAAACAATCTCTGAAATAACACCTTCAAATATAAGTAGGCGGAGATGGGCGGAGATTCCTTGTAATGAACGATAAAAGGTCGAATTTCCGGTGCTCAACCTCATCATACACTTCCTATGACGTACTACATCACAGGTAACCCAATCCCAGTATTTTAGTATTTTAGTTGTACATACACAAATCAATAAAGTGAAATCTTTAAATCTTTAATAGGTTGAATTTCCGAATAGTAAACTCAAAGACACTCAACTCTTTGAAACACTTTTCTACGCCACAGGCAACCCAATCTCAGTAATTTAGTTGTAACTGCAAATACGGTATTTATTCAAAGAAATATTTTCACTAGTTCTTGGGTCTTTACATATGAATAAGAACAGTGGAAGAACATATAACCAGAAATCTCTTGTAACTGCAAATACGATATTTATTTAAAGAACTTTTTTTCACTAGTTGTTGGTCTTTACAAATGAATAAGAACAGTGGAAGAACATATAACCTGAAATCTCTTGTAACTGCAAATACGATATTTATTTAAAGAAAATTTTGTTCACTAGTTGTTGGTCTTTACATGCGAATAAGAACAGTGGAATAATATTTAACCAGAAATCTCTAGCAATAGTTTGTTTACAAACAAAAGGTGGGATTTCTGATGCACAAGCGACAATGACACCACAGGTAATCCGATCTCAGGGTTTTTAAATTAAAAGTTCTTGGCTGATTATGCTCGTATGGAAATACTAAAGTTGAGAAGCTAGATGAGATGGCACTATTGTATTTATTGTATTGTATTAATACATTGCTTGAGTTGTAACAGTAAAATGGGAAGAAAAAAAAGAAATAGAAAGAAATAGGAAATGAAAGGATAAGAAAGAGAGGGTAAAAAGCTTAAAATACAAAATTACTATTCTCCTATTGCATTCCCGTTTCCGTTTCCCATTTCTCTTTTGTCCCTTTCCCTCCCTTTCTTTCCCTTCCTTCCCTTTGATTCTTTTTTCTTTCTCATCTACCAATATTTCAAAAGTTGAAACTTAAAAAAAAGCCTTGTTTGATATTAAAGGGATTCCAATATTTCCTGCTAAAATAGAATTTACTGACTTTTCACTGGCCAAATTCAATTTTTTATGACTTCTTCTATCTGAATCCTGTATTTCTTCAAATAATGGAGAATGAGAAAGTCAGCTTCATAAAACAAGTTTTTTTTTACAAAAAGATATATCAAGGTATGTATATTATGGTCATAGTATAGTATTATTATTAATCAAACGAATAATCAATAATAATACTGATAAAATCCATCAGAACCATATTGTGTCGCTGGCTTACGTCCACGGTCCCTGTGATCGTGCCTTGATCTGTCATCTTGTCGGTTGCCATAGCGATCACCATAACGATCACCACCACGTCTGTAGAGACAAACAGAAAWTTTTTTTACCACAACAGTTAGAGTCAGAATTATTGACTTTTATTATTCTCTACTTTCACATCCCCATAATACTTTGCGTCTTTGGGGGATAACCAAAGGGTAAAAACCTACTTATTTTGCTGAAGGCTGATCAATGTTGACAATACCTTGTTTGGTATCCAAAGATAAAATAAAAAAGTAAAAAACAGAAAAAGATAGAAGCTTGAAGACCTTTAAGGTAAATTTTAAACATTTTTTCGTAAGTCAATACATTTTCTGTAAGACCAAAACTCTTAAGACCAAAACTCTTGATGATCTGTACACGCAAAAATAACTTGGAATAAACTGATAATCAGTATTGTACAGATAAAAGCAGGTATAGTATAAATTTAATTAAGAAACCTTTCAATTWGGGAAAGTTTTTTGATTGGTTACCCCCCAAAGACGCAAGGCATTATGGGATGTGAAAGTAGAGAATACGACACACTCAATTTCCAGCGTATTAGGTCCATTTTTCCAGTGCAATTACAGAGCTATAATACATGGTCTGTGACTGGTTTTGAAAGAGTTTTTTTTTGCTGATACCAGCACAAGGATATATTTTCCTTTTCCTTTATGTGGCTCACATCTGTGGTTTGAGCTCCTGACTTTCAAGTTTGCTTGTTTACAATAAGAAATTGTAATGATAAAAGGGTAAATTTTACATGTGAAAAGATGAAAAAACTTACTGACGTTTCGGACTCTAGTCCTTTGTCAGAGTAAAAGAGGAACAATATGAAATTGTTATTTTTCAGGCCACTCTTACTCAGTTTTTTCATGCCATACAATAAGCTATTTATGACACTGCTAGTTTTGTATTACAGCTGGATAATTTACTCTTGAAGCAGTATGGGGCTTGAAAAAATACAGCCGCTTTGGCTCATAAAATTATCCAGCGGTTTGCACAAATAGCAGTGTAATAAGCTCTATGTAATGCTGTATAGTTTGACTTTACATTCCTGACTGGAGAGTTTTAAATGGCAGTTACAGCGCTTCCCAAACACAGGAGTGAAATCATACAATTTTCTGTGCCTATGGAATGTTGTGAAAACACCTTGATTGATGATCACCTCTTACACTAAGTGCTTTATTACTGAACGAAGCAAGAAAAAAGCTGTTTTAATCTTTTATTATCTAGTTACTAATTTTAGCTTGGTATTGAGTTTATTCATGCAAAAAGAAAGATGATCGCAGGATCTAGCATAACTTTGGGTGCACAGATAGTGTCAGCACTGTGCTCCGTTTTATAATAAAGCACCAACCTTTGACCAATCAGCTTGCACATACAATCCTAACTATACAATGATACCTAATATCTCCTGGTGTATAGCTTGCAACAAGATCAAAATTGGCAGAAATGTAGGCAATGTCTTCAAATATGAACAGTTCAAAACTGAATTTCAAAATTTGTATTTTGATCACACTTTGGTACCAGGACTTAAGGTGGCTGGACCCCCTCACGCTTGACCGCTACCTTCCACTTTTGGAATGCTAGTGCATAAGATTTGCAATCGGATAAAAGACGTTTATGCACTAGCGTTCCAAAAGTGGAAGGTAGCGGTCAAGCGTGAGGGGGTCGAGCCACCTTAAAGATAACAACCAGACATTGAACTATGTCCGCCAAGAATTGGAAATTGTTCAGATAAACCCTTGCATTGCCGACCATTTTGACCATTATAGTACACTCAACAAAATTACTCGACTCTGATTGGTCGAGAGAGGAGTACAATTATAGCGTTAATTGTACTCCGTAGGAGTACCGAATTAAGTCGCTATGGCAACACGGCCAAAACAATGTCAAAGCAATTGTTTTCTATCATTTTGAACTTAAAAAGCATATAAATAAAATTTTAAAGCTGTAAGAACTAATCTTTTTTATGCATTTCAGTTGCGCAATGGACTGAAAATCGGCCACCAAATAGACAAAGATGAACAGCGTTGCTTCGCATTTTTACTGAAATTTTGTTGAGTGAACTATAAACAAAAAATCGCACGATCTTCTCGTACAATTTGGAATTAATAGACACTCGTAATGTTTTGAAAGTTCTTTAATTGCACTCGCCTAAAGGCTCGTGCAATTACAAGAACTTTCAAAACATTACTCRTGTCTATTAATTTCTAAATTGTACTCGAGATCGTGCCATTTCCTATACGAACTGTTGAGCCAGAAACAAGGTTTGGCCGAGCTAAAAACTAATTGTGCCAGTCATCATGAGTGGTGACTTACCGGCCTTTATTTTAAGCCCTAGGTAAGACTCTAATTAAGAAAGCAAAATAAATAGTTAACCAACCTGTCATCTGATCTTTGATATGGGTGATACCTATCACCATAGNGATTTTGTCCTTCATCACGACGATCTCTTCTGCCACCCTGATAATCTCGACTAAACAAGAAATTGGAAATAATGAGAACAATTAGAGAAGACCAAAAACATTATTTTAGGAACAACCTCTAGTATTATACATTTACCCACTATCTCGCTTCTCATTGGTCGGAGAGCCCTCAGCCAATCATGTGAACCCAACATGATTAACCCTTTCAATAGTAGAGTGGCCAAAAGCTGCCAACCAGAAAATTTAATGTGACGTTTTTCCTAGAGGCCAGCGGAAGGACATTTTTGCTTTTCAATTATCTATCCCCTAGGACATTTATATGTGTTGAAATATGAGGGCTATTGTTTTTGGATCATTCACCAATCAGATTCTATTAACTGCTTTGATGTGTGTTGCAAGGCCTCAATATCTACTGAGCATGTGTTTTTTCATTTTTATATTGAGAAATAAAAAACACCCTAATTATGTTCCAGGAAGAGGCTGAGGAAGAGCCTCTAGTAGCGAAAGGGTTAATGTATTATCTGTAGTTATTCCTGCAGATAATACATTTATCATGTCAAGTTCACTCAAGGTCACAATGGAGAAATGTTGGCTATTTTTTTTCAAAAGCATAATTAATTCATCATTCTTATACATGTAATTTACAAAAGTATGATAAAGCAATTATTGAATTAAGTTTTCAGATAATACCGTAAATTATCAAGACCACAGATATATTATCCACCTCAGCCTTCATCTTTGGCAGAATTTAATATGACCTTGGTCTTGATAATTTACCATGGTCAACCTCATTCAATAATCAACAAATAAAACAGCTTTTTCCATACTCCGTTCAGTAATACAGCATGCAGGAAGCGATGTAAGCACGAAAGAAGTGTAAGGAGAAGCGCGAGCCGAAGGCGAGTGTTTCTCGCACTTCTTGAGTGCTTATGTTGCTTCCTAAGTGCTTTATTACTAAATGGAGTATGGACAAAGCTGTTTTATTCATTTTATTATACTAATTTTATTTTGGTCTTGGATTTATTTAGGCAAAAAGAAAGGCGGTAGCAGGATCTAGTAGCACTTTGCGCATGCCAATGGTGTCAGCACTGTGCTCCATTCACTAATAAAGCGTAGTTTTCGAACAATCAGTGTGCACATACTATTCTAAATATACAATAATTGTTTATAAAAGCTACTAAAAAATCTTTAGTGACGTGCTTCATCCAAAACCTTTTTAAACTGGAGTCTTTGGCTCCAGAAAATTTGTGTATGCATGGGGAGGGGGAGGGGGAGGATTGATCAGACACAGGGTGACCGCTTAATAGTGGTAGCCCTGTTTCCATCAATCTCTTCCCACACTCATTTTACTCCTCATACTCTTTTTACCTACCTGTACTGGTACTGTAGCCAATCAGGAATGCAAGGAGGAGGTGCAGCTGTCTTTTCAACCGTCTTCATATACTCTGCATCYTCTTCTGTGTACCTTTTAGCAAACAATTCTTCGTATTCCGCAATAACTTCCAAAGAAGAGTTTTCTGACATCTTGATTTTTGTCGAATATTTTCCAGAAAATACAGGTCGAGTTTTGTAGCAAAAAAAGCGATAAACAGTTGCTTATAAACGAGGTTTCTGTGCACTAAGGTGTATCAGGAGAACTATATTAATGAACTTTAAGGGGAAAAGGTAGGAAATGTTTGAATAAAAGGGTTTGAAAGAAGATTAAATTCCTTTGAAGTATTTGTCCTTCCTCGTGTTTGGAAAAACAAGCAGAGGCCTGGATGCTTGGCCACAGGGAGCCCAAAAAAGRTTCCAGCTTCAAAGATTCAAGATTTCAGCTAGAGTGCTTTTAGTCTGGGTCGGTGTCCACTGGTAGAACGAAGCATGGATTATGGTGAACAATGCGTATTGTTCTACATGTAAGCTGCGTTCTTTGTTTTATCTCACCATTCATTGTTTGTTCATCCATTCCCAGGCTTTGTTCTGCCGGTTGTGGCTCACTGTTGAATAGGAGACGTCAACTAAATTAGATAAGTTATTTACTATTTTAGGTGACGTCACCTAAATTTGAAACTACGAGTAAACAGCTACTGAGATCAGGGGGAGAAACTATGATACAAATGAATGTCTATTCACTCATTCTCTGGTAAAACAACCCCCCGGATTAGCATGACCGTTATTTGGCGCGCTTTTACTATTTTAGGTGACGTCAACTAAATAGTTATCTAAGTTAGATAAATTTATCTTACTATTCAATAGTGAGACTAATCTATTTGTTTTGTCTGGTGAAAAAAACTTGAAAAAACTTGTTTTTCACTTTTGCATCAATTGAGTTTTGAAAAGTTTCTCCCCAATAGTGCACAGTTGAATAAGTTACAGCATGTTACAGAGCGTCCGCTCCATTTGAATTTTTTTCCCATTTCCTCTTCTTTTCTTCCCACTTTACTACTTTTAGCTTTTTGATTTATTTCGAAAAGAGAAGACAATTTACTAAAATATATCGTGATAATAGCGCATGACATGAAGAAAGCTTGGTCGTTTTAATGGCTGTTGATGACTCAGTTTGCGTGACGCAAAAAAAAGAGAAGGCGTAGGTTGAGCTAGGTATATCTGGTTAATATGGGAGCTTCGAGGTTGGGGTACGGTGGGAAATCCAGTAAAAAAGACTTTTTTTCAAGCACTTCAAGGACGTGTCATCAAAAGAAAGGCGTTGTGAGGGTGGTTACGGTACGCCTAAAGGAGAATACGTCTACAAGATCAGAGTTCAAAAAATAAAACTTTAAATTCTTTTAAGAATATATTCACTTATCTTGATAAATGTATTAAAATACATTTATCAAGATAAGTGAATATATTTAATAACAAAGAGTAAAAACCATAATTTTTAATGAGCAGAATCTAATGCTGGACTTGTTTCTGCGGGGAATTTTATATTTTGCAATTCTGTTGATCAAATGATCAATTCATTCAAGGTGATGTAAGGCTACTAGTACTTGTGCACGTGCCAAGCCTCTCAGTTGTTTTACTGCACATGTGTGACAACGAGGAATCTGTCGAGTAAAATCAAGATTTCTACCAAAAAATACCTTTTTTCCTTTCATAAATGTCTTCTAAAAGAACGATAAAGGTCGCCAAAAGCCTCGACGAGCTCGTTCGAGCTCTTCATGAGGTTTTTGAAGATGATCATATAAACGTTGAAGAAGTCCGCGAATTGATGGAGTCTTACGTTTCTAAGGAAGAAGATTGGAAAAATTACGCTAATTATGACCCATATAGGTGAGAAATATCAAAATAAAAAGTACTTGTGCTTTCATTAGGTAATGGGGTATATTGTGTGTTTAATTGGTGGATTTGCAATTGTTTTTTCTACAGATATACGAGAAATTTGGTCGACGAAGGSAACGGAAAGTTCAACCTCATTGTCTTGTGTTGGGGCGAAGGACAAGGAAGGTTAGTTGAAATTCATAATTAAAAAAAAAAACCCATAACATTCTTCTTCTAATTTTAACCTAAAACTATCACATAAACTTCCATATTTTATGTTCAACCCTGCTAAACCATATAACTTATTTGCATTCATTTTTGATCTAATTTTTTTTCAAAGGATTCCTTGGCGACCGACTAAATTTTCAAAACCGTATTTCATCATCACCTTTTTAAAAGTTTTTTCTTTGATGATACTGTTCATGGTTTTTCTACGCTTCAAAATCAATTGCCTTTTATCTCTTCAAGAATTTCTCTCCCAAAAAATTATCGTGCCTAAAYATAATACCTCTTGCAAATATCACGAAAAAAAATATTAAAAATAAGCTTTAGCATTTATTCAATATTTCTCTATTTATGAGTTTAATTTTAACTGCATTTTATTACACAGAAGAAAGGAATGGAATACAATCAAATTAAAAGGAATAGGAAAGGGATAGTGGAAGTGATTCAGGTTAATTATTTTTCTTGAAATGTTTGAACCTTTTTATGCATCAGAGGTGAAAATATCTCTGAGAACATCTGACTACTTTTGGTAAATAATAAACATAAAATTAGACTTTTTTAACCTGAAATATTAATGCTCATTTCAAAAATGSAAAGAAAAATGGGGGTGTCCCTAGCTTCTTTTTGAGATAATCACTCCGGAATGAMATGCGTATGTACCATTTTGGAAGAATAGCGAAAATCAAGCTGATTGGTCGAGAAACTCAAACTATCACACAATAATCACCTCTAACGATAATCCAAAATGGCGGCCAGCCGCTTTGCTGCTGTTACCGGGGAATTAGAAATAATGAAAGAAAATGCTGTCCCCWAAAGGACTAAAGAGGYTAACAAATTTGCACTAACTTTGTTCAAAGGTAAAAAAGGACTTAAAACAATCAAATAAGCTCAAACAAACTGTTTTGATTCGCAAAGTCGGAGTTTGCCTGTCTTGTAATTGAAAGCCGCGTTTGTCACTGCAATTAAAAATTTTCCTAATTTTAAATGTGTCTTTTATCTTCTTTYTTTTCTTCCTTTTTTTGAAAGAACCACTTGTGTATTTATACTAAAACAATTATTTGCCTCAGCCTCAGTGAATATTGGACAATATTTACCTCGCGTCTCGGTAAATATTCCCCGATATTCACTTTGCCTTTGGCAAATAATTGTTAATTATTCTAGAAAATAACAAAAAATAGAGAGTCCCCTGCAAAATTTGAGGGTTTTGCCCTSTTGAAKYTCAAAAYGTGTATGGTTCTTCATTAAAATCGTTAAGCCACTTTAAAGGTTTATTTATTCGCCTAGGTTTTCRGGATTGTAAATTTCTAAAAAAGTGTCTATTTTTTTACAATTCCCAGAAACATATTCTAGTTATGTGTGATGCTGTTCAATYAAAACCTTTAAAACCTTTTTTACCAACTTACTTTATGTTACTGCAATTTTCRTAAACATTCGAATTCTGTGTCTATAAGAGCTGCYACTAAAATTTGGTTTTTCACTGCTGTCAACCAAACCTAATTAGTTGGTACCTTTCATATTTTTGACTGRTGGCAGTGAAAATCCAARTTTCAGTGGCMACTCAGAGACACAGAGTTCCCATAATACCTCTTTTACAGTTCCRAATCGGAAATATTATTTRTGGTMACTGAAAGGAACTGTAAAATGGAKTATTGAATCTGTTTTGTGCAGTGCTTTCAATCAAATCCTTTTAAACAAACTTACTTTATGCTAATCCAATCTGTTTTGTAAGATGTGATGATCTAGTGCTTGGAGACGCATTCATAATTTACAAAGTAGTTTGGTGCTATGGGGATTTTGAAGGGGGCAGCCATTATCTCTGTCTGTTGTATGGTGGCCATYACCTAGACATTACTGTTTTATCATATTCTATCAGTCCATTCAACCATGTTATAAATAGGTTTCAGTGCAGCAAATATTGCCCTTGAATTATATTTGCAGGTGAAATTTCCCCTGGTTTTTGACCCTGGGGAAATAACACATTTAAAAAAAATTTTGAGTCTGTCCAAAACTTGACTGCCCAAGCATTAAAAATACATAAAAAAATAATAAGCAAGAGAATGAAATGTTCATGCATTGAATGAAWTATAGAGTGCAGCATATAGAGGATGTTACATGGGCGCGCAGAGATACRAACTTTATCTTCGAGTGTTCAATTGATATCTAATGAGTGAGATATCTAAATTGAACACAAGAAGATAAAATTCGTATCTCCAAGCAGCCATGTAATGTTCTGTTTATTATGTAGATATCGATGAAACTTAAATAAAACAAAAGCTCAAAAATTCTTTAATAAAAAAATATGTTACTATGTCAACAGCGATATCTTCACGTGTGAAAGATATGGTATCTTCCACTGGTGAAAGATATCAAGTTTTTGACACTAGAAAAAAACCTGGTATTTCATCGATATCTATATAATAGTTATCTATTTTATATATAATTATTGATGCGATAAAAAATTTGGTGGATTTTTACTGTTGAATACAACTCTTAATTCTTACCAATGGTGTTATTTCCACATGTGAAAAATATCATGTAATATCTTCACGTAAGAATAATAGAGAAAAATAGATATTTTATTAATAAAACATTTAAAAATATATACATATTTTTGTTTATTTATTCCAGTTCAGTTCATGATCATTCCGACTCACATTGCTTCCTCAAGATGCTGGATGGATCTCTCAAAGAAACTTTGTTTGAATGGCCGACAGAATTAGAATCAGAAAAACCCTTACAAATAAAAGCCGTAAATACTGTGAGAAGAAATGAAGTGGCTTATATAAATGGTAAGAAAATCCCCAACTGCACATTACAATATAATACAATGTGAAGTTCCAGAAAATATYCATACCCTCACTACTGAGAGAATTTGTAAAATGACCCACTTACCCCCAGGAACTTCCAATTTTCTTCCGTGCCTATTTCAAGCCCTGTCAATTGATGGGTTTCACGGCGGCCATGTTGGAGGAACTTAACAACAGAATTGTCAATGAATTCTTTTGTTATATCCTCCAACATGGCCACCATGTCTTTTTTATTTAATTCTCTTGGGAATGGTTRAAAACTATCAATTCATATCATTAGCCTCACTTACATGACTTCAGAACAAAAGAATATTTGACTTTAACCCTATAAGCAAGTATAGCAATGTGAATCATCTGACCAAGGGCTCAAAWTGACTGTCGATCAGTTGCAGTCATAATCTCGGCCAATCTAGTTTTTTCTATCTCGGTCATACTCAAATTCTGGCTTGACATTACTGGTCAAAATGACCAGTAAGGCAAACATTTGACCTGGCCAGACATTGTCCAGTGAACAGCAGTCATTTTATTATTTTATATAAGCCCTGATATAAGGCTTAATGGCTATTTTTTCATTATTATCAGATTCAATTGGATTACATCGAATGGAAAACACAAGTCACTCTGATACTGCCTGTTCTCTTCATCTTTACTGCCCTCCATTTGATATGTGCCAAAGCTTTGACCAAAGAACGGGACACAAAAACATATGTAAAGTAACGTTCTTTAGTAAATATGGAGAAAGAACACCATTTGTAAGTAGTTGGTAAAGCATTACGTTATGTAATGCCATCACATCTTATTATCATACCTATTTTTAAAAATGTTGTCATTGCAAAAGGTGATARAGGTGACATTCCAAGATCCAAGAATAAAATAAAATGAATAAAAATAAATATTTTTTAAGCTTGTGGGGCCGTGTATCCTCCATACATACTCCTTACTATACTCAAATATTTTATACACACAACTCTCAACTCACATGTTGATTTTTATGGAGGGAGGAACCCGGAGAAAACCCTCGTAGCATAGGAGAGAACAACACATTAAACAAACTCAATTCACATGTGGCAACCGCAGGTCTTGAACCAGTGACCCATTGGACTCACRGCAGTGAAAGACGACACAGCYGCGAAYGACACCCATGCTACGCTACCCTTAATAGAATAGCTGGAATGAGTTGTGTTTCTGCTTCTTATTCTCGTCAAGATCATAAACCTTGTGTTGAGAAAGTGTTGAGACTGATTCAATGTTCTTTGTATTCAACAAAACCACTTATATGTCAGAACTATCGCCTTTGGCCATGACAACATTTTTTGAAATAGGTGTACACCGAATAGACCTCCTTGGCTTGGGSGTAATGTTTTCCCATTTCGGAGCACATGTCATTCACTTAAGACTTAATCATTTCTTTGTTTAAATGTTGTGCTCCGTTGCACATGAGAAGACAAATGAATATAGATAAAAATCAAACAAAGARTCTTATTCTACAGGAATGCCACATGGTCTAGCGCTGAAATGTGAAAACATTATGCCTGAGCCGAGRAGGTTTATAAAACATGGCAAAAAATTTGAATAACTATTGTTCTGCACTGACTAGCCTCTCGTACATGTAAAAATCTTTTGTTTCCTTGTAACGGATAATGGATGCTCAATAACTTGTCTTGTCAGACTTATCAGAATTTGACCAATCCACATGAGCAGCRAAGAGGATCAGTGTTGTAGAGACATGTGGCTGAACAAGTGCCAATTTGTAGCAGGCATTTGTTTAACCTCTGCTGTATAAATCTGCTAAATCTATCAGGAACTTGATTATATTTTAAAACTCCACAAGTCATCATCCAATCATCCAACTCTTAACTCATCCAATACCCCTACCCCTCCCTGATCCAACCTCAGTCCTGAACCTAAATATGAATCCTGATTCCATTACCTTTGTACGTCATGTTTGTAAGTCTCAACTTCATATAATTATATGTTGTGTAGTTCCAGAAATTATCCACACCTCCCCCCACAGGTAAAATTTAAAGACCTCCCCCTTATCCACAGAAATTYCAATTTTCTTCCATACAGACTCCTAGACCCCCCATTCCTTGGAAATTCCTCTGTTGGGGTATGGATAATTTATGGAACTATACATTCCCACCCTACCCCTGGAATATTCCAATTTTCTTCCATACAAACTCTGTAATTTCGTTCTTCCTCTGACCCCCACCCACAGAAATTCCAAATTCCTCTGTGGGGGTAATGGATAATTTATAGATTCAACTATACATTTTAACTGATTCCTTTTTTATTTTACATCCCTACAGAAGCCTACTGGAAACTGAGAATATTACATGGCACTTTAATAAACATATAAAGTGTTTTTTACACTAGTGAAGGAGACAATCACTCATGTTCTCCAACACAGACTACTGTAAATAAACCATTCTGAGGTTGAGGAAAAATATGGCTCCAGTTGCCATTGCAGTGCTTTGATGTTTTAGGGGACAAATAGCTGCAGTGTCGCAAATATGTCCCCCAATGGCTAGAAATAACTGGTTAAACTCAAATATGAGGAAACAGWAAATAATTATTCAATTCACCTTTTCGGCACTAGCTTGGATTGTGTTACGGTCRCCAAAAAGTTCGGAAATTGTTCTCGGATACCCATACAAATTCACTGARTTTAAAGAGAAATTTTAGGTAGATTTCTTTAGTTAGCTATTTTAACAGCAGAAAGAAAAGCTTCAATCAAGCTAGAAAAATGATCATTTACTTGTATTTAGAGTCAGTATATTTGTACGGAAATTCGAGAAAAATGTCTGAACTTTTTGGTGACCGTAACACAATCTAAGACAATTTATACCCCGTGATGGCTAGCGCCGAAAAGGTGAACTGCATGGTACGTCATCGCTGTCATGTTGATGCCATTTAACAAAAGATTTCTCATTGGAATCCATTGTTAACGGCACYACAATGGCTGGCATGTTTTTGTCTTTCGACTCTCTTGGGAATGGCAGTTTGCAACCCATCAATAGAAGCAGAATATTTCTTCCACTTCGACTAGTCTACTATAAAATTACTATGATAAATATGTAAAAAAAAATTAAAAATTCATAACCTTAATAATAATAAAACTTTATAGTGAGTGATATTAAAACACTAAGTGTATAAGATATTGGTTACTAACTATTGGTTTTAACTTGAGATGGATAGCGGCTGTCGGAAGCAGTTGATTGAAATTGTTAGTGAAAACCCTTTGTCATACATTTCATTATGAAGTATCAGGATTTAAAATAACAACCGTTTCAGAACTCGAATTCTGATTGGATTACAGTGTTCCTTATATGGAATTCTCAAAAAAAAAAAAAAAAGCAATATTAAAATAATGAAACCATTAATGGAATCTAGGGGGGCAAGCTTGAGCCGTTTATGTAAGCATAAGTACAGCCAAGTAAAAGAGATCCTTTTGATTCCAACAGACCTATTCCAAATTCGCTTGACTGGTCATGAAACAATGGTTTCGAGTCGAGGTTGAACTTGATGAATAAAAGAATCGAGTCCAGTCTCGACTTCAAACCTTTGTTTCATGGTCATCCAAGCGAATTCGGGATAGGTCTATTCAGACGCAGTTGTCTGATTTTCACTTCTACCCCATTCACATCACACCTTTTAACATTCGGACAGTCACCAAGTGCAGAGCAATAGTTATTCAAATTGGCCGCCATACCAATCTGCGGCATAATCAATCAAACGAAATCGAACATTCGATTCCATTTCGATTTCATTGGGCAATCGAATGAAATCGAATTCACAAAAAAAAAAAAGGTTTTTGCAAGGACCAATTGTATGACGCAAGTTATCCCATGTTGGTCTGAGATATTCTAGATAAGAACTTATATGTCCTAGGAAAGCACGGGTGGCGTAGCGGTAAGAGCGCTCACCAATGCGACACGGATTCGAGTCCCGCTGAGCTCGGTGTCGTATGTRAGTAGAGTTGTTTGTTGGTTCACTCCTGGGTTTTCCGCAAAAATCAACTCCTAAATCCCAATTGGAATCACAGTGGATGAAGAGCTACTGTAGAAATGCCTCTGCTAAATCCTATTAATTAATTAATTATTTATTTATTTTATTTTATATGTCCAGTTCAGATTACAAGGTGTCGAACGCGAAGTCGTCTTGTCGTATGTTACTTTATCGATTTGCTACTGAATATTAAGTACTGTTACTGCGACACCACAGGTAGCCAGATTTCTTTTAAACATTTTCTCGAGTCAGTTCGAACAGTACTGGAAWAAAGAAAGAATTCCATTGTCAGTTTAATCCATGTCCTTTTATTAATTTATTTGGCCGTCGCAAAAGTTTCAAAAGATGTCTTAAATATGTTCCTAGTCGTTGGGTTTCCTGTGGTTTGACCTTTTYGCGGCAAGAAACGGAGTGCTCACGCTGCGAATGAGTCGTTCTGTAAAAACTTGTTCCAAGGAAACTTGTTAAGAATTTTCAGGCCTCGGGGAAAACTCTCAAATGAATAAAAGGGAATGTAAAGATGGGGAACTAGACTAAACTTAATTGAAGAAAAAATACGCTTCAAAGTTGAGGTGAAGGAGCGGATYGATGCTAAGGCAGAAGGAGCGGAAGAGACCGCTGCTGGAAATAAAATGAAAAAAGATGGAAGAACAATGTAGAAGTAAGAAGGAGAGGGAGATCTATAGGGATAAGGGGTCGATAAGGGGAAAGACTGAGGAGGAAGCAGAGGCGGATTTAGGGGTGACTAAAAGTGGTTGTCTCCCTCCCCTCCCCTCCCCTCCCCTCTTTTATTTTGGTTGAGTCCTTAGCTTGTTCCTCAATTTCTGGCCCCATTAATTTCTACGATTTGTAGAAGTTTCTCTTTTAGTCAAAGTTTTTTGGGTCCCTACTCTCTCCGATTCCTAAATCCACCCCTCCTAATGGGATAGATTATATGAGAGAAGGATAAGGAGGACTAGAGGCGGCGAGAGTGGAGAGAGTAGCGATAAAGAGGGGCCCCGGATTTTTATGGGTCCACGCGACAACGATTCGTACCGTTTTACGCAACAGCCGTTTCTATACCACGCYGCGCAGTGACAAATTATAAATGAGCTAGTCGTAATATAGTTATTGGGCCATGAAATAAAACTCGGTGAGATATAGCCTTAAATGGTATGTAAAACAGATTTATCCGCATGAGCAAACCAAGAGAGAACAACTGTCACGACCCCGCAATTATATTAAAATAGGTCGACTATTTTATAAGTTGGAAGTTGAATTTCATATTTTGACACTTTTCAGAAGTATTTTTTTGACAAAAATGTWGGATTGATAAGTGAACATTTAAAAAAAAGTCCGAAAAGGGCGGTTTCTGTCCCCTGAAGAAACAGTTTAGAACTGAGAATGCTGGCTAGAATTTAGAATGGGTGAAAGRAACTGATAAAAAATAGGAACATATGGGACAAAAATTAAAATAGAAGTGAAGGTTGTCTTTTAATTCGCAGACATTTTGACTCCCTTGACACATTGACATCGTTACTACTGTTACTACGCCAACGAACAATGACCAAGTGAATCAAATTATCACAAAACTTTTGAAACACATCTTTTTTACGTCAGAATTCTCAAATCTTTTATCGTATTGTCTTACATTAATTATTAAGGCCAAGTATATGTCAAGTAGGTATGAATATCGACGTCTAAGAAATAAATAAAAAATATAGTATAGTATTCCTGTCAAAATGTTGAAAATCCTATTAGGATTAGGGTGGGAAGACGTCAACGCTCCTTGGCGCGTAACCTAATTGTCCAATCAAAATGTGTGTTATATTGAGAATTCAGGTGAATAGACCAATAAGGAAGCGTGTAAGAAAGGGCRGATTTGTGTGACGGATGCCTTCGACGTCACGCAAAAGTATTTTTGATTTAGTACTGTGGTATGTAGACTTTATCTTTCTCTCTACGATCTTAGGCCATTCACGGATGCTAACCCTGGCATAAAAGAYTTTCTGCTATCCTTTCTTCGGCCCTGGAACCTTAAATTGTAGCTAGAAGACGCAAGATTACCCAAAGGACATCTTAATTTGGGGAAGCAATGGCTTTGCGGCAGTCATTTCGCACTAAACACGTMTCCAAATTCAAGCATGTATTTGGTAAACCAAATAAAAAAGAGTTCTGTTACGAAGGAATAAGAATCTCCAAGAACGCGTGGGAAAGTAATTTCTGTGCTGTAAATCCAAAATTTCTGGCTGTAGTACTAGAAGCTCAAGGTGGAGGTCCTTTTATCGTTTTGCCTTTAGAAAGGGTGAGTAATTTGCAGCGTTTGCCTCGCTCCTACCGTTCGCTCAACTAAGCTTATATATACTTCTGCATTAGCAACATAAAAATTTGTTCCCAAGAGAGAAAGAAATATTACTCTTAATTAAACTTAAAGAACTCTACAACACTTAGCTATTCCATGTCTTTAGAACCCAAGTGTTTTTGTAGATTTTCAAGGCCTGGTTTGGATTATTTCTCCAACAGAAATTTTGTTTATATTTTTGAATTTTTTTTTTGAATTTTTTTTTTGTGTAGACCTCGAATTGTCGGCCAGCTTTGACTTTAAATAACTTCGATTCGTAGTAAAAGCAATCTGGGTCGTTCTTATTTGGTGATATTTCGATGGAAGATCTGTTTTTTAGRTGTCTAAATAGCGTGGAAAATAATATCAAGTTCTTAGTGTACTATGATATTTATTTAAGGCTCGAATCGAGCGATCGTTCTTTCTGGATTCCAATCTAGATTTCTCTTCTGTTTCAAAACCATTCGAGTGTAAAACAGACGCGTTTTTTTTGTTGATTTATTTGACGCTAAATTCCAAAGAATCAAAAAAACCCAAGCCACTTTGGGCTCTAGTGCCGAGGTGTCGTTACTGTATTTGTCAATAATTGCAAAACGCTCGCATTTTGAACAGCTKTAAACTGTTGTTCTTGTGACAGAAAATAACTTTCTAAAAATTATTATAGCTTTGATATGCAAATATATATTACTATAAGCAATAATCTTTTGGAAATTTTGTATAAAGCTTGTTAATCCTCGAATATTTTTAATAGTTTTAACTCGAAAATAACTCAAATAAAAAACACGAAGTTTGTGATATTTTTTAGACTCGTAAATTAATTGTCAAAATTTATCAATAAATTTTGATTATTTTCGCGATTCGAATTGAAATACTCTTTACAAACATTCACGTACAGAGTTTGTTAAATAATCAAAGCTGTTCCTTATACTTCCAAGCTAAAATTATCTTTTGTTTTGCTATCAATAAATTATGAATACTAAGTGTTAGAAGCTTTGTTAAGTTTTGYCAAGTCTTTTTTCAACCACAATTTTGACCATCCTGTCATTTCTCTAGAATACTATAATCACATTTGACCAAAACAAGCGTACACTTTAGCAATTTTTTTCAAACAATCCTCCAAGTAAGATCCTAGATTCAGAGGGAATATATTTCTTAATTATGCATTTTTGAAATCAAACTATTGTTATGATCCATATGTGGTAATACATTCCTTTTAAGGCAGTAATTCTTAATTATAGTTCTTAGACAAGGGTAACGCAAAGATGCATAATGTCCTGAATTATATTAAAGARGTTATAAACTTCCCATCATTCCATAATTTTCTTATAGTTTTTTTTACAAGGGTACAGCTATAAGATGCATGATGCCCTGAATCGTCTTGATGGATTGCATTGCAAGCATTCCCAAGAGAGTCAAAAGACAAAAACATGGTGGCTATTGTAGTTATTGTGGTGCCCTTAACGATAAAAGCTAATGACAGATATTTTGTTAAATGGCACTGCAACATGGCTGTGATGACGTAAAAAAGAGGTTATAAACTTAAACTTCAAAAGGATTCTTATCCTTTCATTGTTCAATATTTACTATATTTTTCCCTTATTATTTTTCCCCTCTAGAATACTCCATTGATAAAGTTGAGAGAGTTCAAGAAGTCCTTCAATTTTTTATCCAGGCTTTTTACTTATGTAAAAACCAAATACAYAATTAGTTTTCATTTCAGAGGTCATTCCCTTATGTCAAGCCATCATMGACACTAAATCACAACTTCTGCTTGCTTCAAACTGGAAATATAAGTTTTCAAATTGAAAATGAAATCCATTTTTCAAGAAATATTTCTGCAATGCTTAGAGATATGGTGCTGTTGTATTTAGACGGCATCTGCAGTACATCAGATCTTAAACAGTTTTCAATTAGCCTGTTGTACTATTCTGTTTTTATTGGATATCTTTCAAGGGTCACTTGTGTTTGATAAACATTTTTTATTGTTTTTGCTTGAATGTTATGGTAGAATAACTTCATATCCAGATTATTGTGGACATATTGAACTTAAATTYGGCATAAAAAATGTGCTACACAGTTCTTATTACTCCATAATAAAAGTAATTTATTAGCTTGGAAAGTTAAGTATAAAAATAATGTGTTTGCCACTAGCTGAAAGGAACTTGGAAAATATCAAAATTACTGATAGGAATTAGGTAGTCATGACCTTACTTCCCGATACCAGATACTATAGTCAGATGCTTATCATAACCACTTCACTGTAGGGAAAAGAAAGTCTCATATTGCATTGTGCCAGTTATTTAATAGTTGGGTCCAACATGACATGTGGCCTGTACACTGCAAGGCTCAATACGTACGTCCAGATTGATCAGTTCAGAATCCTTTTGGCCGTGCAGTATCAAGTTCTTTCCATAGCTAGCCCTTAATAGTCCATTGTCTCATCATTCAGTAAATACTGCTGTTATATTAATGATTAAAGACTAATCTGCACAGGCTTAGCCTTGCTTAAGGTCAAATCATTTGCAAAAGTCAGCTGTGTAATGTAAAGAATGTGCAGCTTGAACAATACCAATGTTTTGAATTGAAATCCCACAGACTTTTACAGTTGGTTTCACAAAACTTCGGCCRCTTTAATTCCAAAGTTAGTTCCCAAGTTTTCCAAGTTGGTCCCGAACTTGCGAACTTTTTGTGAAATTGGTTCAATCAACAGTGACTTGTTKATGTCTAGAATTCAAACATTTACTGGAATTATTGCTTCTTTAAACCATATACTCTTCGAAAATTGTAATCCAGACAATGTACAGAGTCAAATTCCTTTTGTCGCAATGAAATTTCACTTTGAAAATTRAATTTRAACGGTAGATTTGAGAAGTTTTAGAARCTACTGTATTATCAGTTTGAAAGATCGCTGACAACCGTCGGAACTTCGGAGTGAAATGGATTACAAAGTWGTGAACTTGCGAATGAACTTCAGACATGGAGTGGCYGAAGTTTTATGAAATCAACTGTAATGGTGTCTGTGAATAGCTGACTTTTAAACAAGGCTAAGCCTGTGCAAATGAGTCTGGTCTTCTAAAATAGCAGTWTGCATTGAATACAAAACTGTTGTAGTATAAAACCTTGTCAAAATTTTTAAAATTTTCACTCTGATCTACAGTATGGTCGTATTCCTCTAACCTACCCAAAAGTCTGTGGCCACAAGGGACCAGTGTTGGACATTCAATGGAATCCTTTTGAYGACAACACATTAGCATCAGCATCAGAGGACTGCACTATCAAAATTTGGTATATTCCCGATGGAGGTTTAAATGAAGATTTGAAGGATTATGTTGGTCAACTATGTGGGCATGAAAGAAAAGTCGGCATTGTTCGATGGCATCCATGTGCAAGTAATATCATCGCGAGTGCTGGCTTTGATAATGTGGTGATTATTTGGGATGTCGAGCGTGAAGCCGCAGTTCTGATACTCAAAGGACACCCGGACACTATATTTTCATTGTCTTTTAATTGGAATGGAAGTTTGATTGCAACGACGTGCAAGGATAAAAAGATCCGGGTGATAGATCCAAGAGAAGGCAAGCTTATAGCTAGTGATTTTGGACACAGAGGTCCTAAAGGATCCCAAATAACATTTGTTGGAAATTCAAATTATTTGTTTACTTCTGGTTTTTCGAAAATGAATCAACGAGAGGTTGCACTGTGGGACTTGGTAAGTTTATAGTCTCTTTCACAGATCTCTGCACCATCTCGAAAGGTGCTTTTGCATCGAAGAGAGTAAAGTCCTTTTTTTAACACTTATTGGACAATTATTCATAAGTTTCTATTATTGCAAGCTCACCATTCATCCTGCTTCGATACAAAGGCATGGCTACCTTTCGACAGGGTAAAGGGAACTGTGAAAGGGACTACTATTATGAGAGATGATATCTACTGCTCAAGCAGTGAATAGGTTTACCAATGTTTGCCAAAGYGAAACTTAGTAATACAAAAAAAGTTTATTTAATTCCTGAATCAATCTTCTCTCTGATATTCAAGTCTAAAATTATACCAAAACAATATTATTCCCCTCAGGCTCAGTACGGTTATCAGTGGGATATTAACCTCGCCCCTCAAAGACTGGTGTCTTTGGGTAAATAATCCCCCATTTTACTTTGCCTTTAGCAAATAATTGTTAAACATTAGATAGTGCTAAAAAGATATTTTCCAGGCTACYGCGTATTTTATGTATTCTTACCATTGTTTTCATTGCTATGCTCTGATTGAGAAGAGCCACAGATTGAAATATATTGCCATCAATTAAAAAAAATTGTAGAGTATATAAATGTACATGGGCTCTGTCAGAAGGTACATGTGAGCAATTCATTTGTTTGGTGATTATCTATTGCCAATTTTAGCGACTTGTTTTGGTCGATCAATGCGCATGCATAAGTGCTCAATGAAAATAGTGTTTAAGGTACTGCTATTTCCATAAACATGAGAACTCTGTGTCTGTGAGCTGAATGCTGAAATTTGTTTTTTCACTGCAGTCAATCAAACCTAATCAGTTGGTACTTTTCATATTTTTGACYGGCGGCAGTGAAAAACCAAATTCAGCGTACAACTCACAGCTACAGAGTTCACATGGTATGTAAACAGCAGTAATCCGATGTTGAGTTTCTCATCATATTTCACTCTCATTTACTTTTTTTTAGGCCAATGGATTACATAAACCACTTACAATTGAGCCAGTTGACGAGTCCTCAGGATTACTAATGGTGTACTACGACCCAGATACAAGAATGGTCTATCTAGCGGGCAAGGTAATAAAACTTTGGATTCAATTAAATAGGTCTTGGAAGCATGGGTGACATAGTAGTAAGAGTGCTCGCTTCTCAACAATGCTACCCAGGTTTGAGTGCCTCTGTGGGTTCATTGTCATATGTGAGTATAGTTGTTTGTTGGTTCTCTCCTGTACTTCAAGGGTTTTCTCTCCAGGTTCTCCAATTTTCCTCCCTCTTTAAAAATTAATTTCTAGTTTTCTATCAAAAAACTCATTAATAATTCATGAAGGAAACACAATAAAAATCATGACCATGAAGGAGGTTTTATACCAGACAAAGATGTAATCAGGCTGACACTGTTAGATCTTATCTCCATGTTACTATGCAACAGCAYGTTTATATTCGACAACAGAGGTGCCRGCAGTCTTCTCAGCCATGTAAACCCATGGATATTAATTGTCCGATTTGTAGCAATTCTATTGGTCAAATTCCTATTTTTGATTGGCTAATTTGTAGAAAATTTGTCGAGGTGGCTTTGGTTGGAGTAGTCACACTGTAATATRAATAATCTCGCAAACTATTAATTAATTATTAATTAAACTATTAATGTCATTAATACTTAATCCACAGGGCGATGGTAACATTCGCTATTATGAAATTCTTGAAGAGGAGCCTTACCTTGTGTTACTAAATGAATACAGAAGCTCATCGCCGCAGCGTGGCTTCGGTGTCATGCCAAAACGTGCCCTTGATGTAGCCCACTGTGAGGTGGCCCGGTTTTTTAAGCTCCACAATAATGGGTTTATTGAACCTATACCAATGATTGTTCCTCGTAGGGTAAGCATTTACTTTTATTAATTAATTATTWTATTAATGATCAATAATAATCACTAATAAAACCCATTCCAATGATTGTTCCCCTAGGTAAGCATTAATTTTCATTAATTCATTATTTTATTAATACCAAATCCTGCAATTGGTTCAAAGGAGTGCGATTAATTTCAAAATTGCATCCTTAGGAGCTCTTAATCACATTCTTAATCGCATCTTTGAAAGAACCAATCTCAGAACAGAATTCTTATATTCAGCCAATCAGAGAAGAGAATGAAACAAGCCTTTTCAATGCGTTTCAAAGTGTTTTTCTCTGTGAACTGGGACATTTTCACACTTTTTGATAGATTTTGTGATGAAGGAACAAAAAAAATTGTATTTTTCATATAGTCATGTAGTCATGTGTATGATTACAAAAAGGATATGATTAAGTGGTAATTGAACTTCGTGTCGTGCAATTTTGGACCAAAATCATTAACTTGTGATTAACAAATTGCACTCCCGCTACTCGGTCATTTAATTTTGTAATCAATTGTATGATTTTGGTCCAAATTGCACTCCACTCAGTTCAATTACATRCCATCATTAATTCATTATCTTATTAATTCATCAAAGATAATTACTTATAGAATCGGAAAATAATAAATCTATTTAGATAAATTAATATGTCTATTTATCGGTGATAATATTTACTATTTCAAACACAGGATTCAGGGACCATCCATTTTGATCTCTTTCCGCCAACACTGTCAAACAGACCAGCAATGTCTGGAGATGAATGGTTGAGAGGGATGAATAAGGGTCCACTCCTTGACGATCTGTTAGCTGGAATAACAGGAGACAATGGGATGAGCCGAGAATCTTATGAAGCAGTGACACCTATCAAAGCAAGAACTGAAAAAAGGTAACTTTCAGTCAGTCAGCCAGTCAATTGTTCGTTTTGTTCCTTCCTTCCTTCCTTCCTTCCTTCCTTCCTTCCTTCCTTCGATTCCTTCCTTCCTTCCTTCGATTCCTTCCTTCCTTCCTTCGATTCCTTCCTTCCTTCCTTCCTTCCTTCGATTCCTTCCTTCGATTTCTTCCTTTCTTCCTTCCTTCGATTCCTTCCTTCGATTCTTTTCCTTCCTTCAATACCTTCCTTCGATTCCTTCCTTCCTTCCTTCCTTCCTTCCTTCCTTCCTTCCTACCTCCATTTCTTTTCTCAATAACTTTTTGATTCCTTCTTCTTAGGAAAGAGAATCCGATCATGCAAACGCAAAATGATGTAGCCTATAGTGAACCACATCTTGTCAATGGCAACAAAGGAGAAACAACGAGCAGGAAGGGTGACTACATGTCATGGGATCTTGATACTGTAAGTTATATCTAGCGTTTTCACTCGTGTGACAAGTTAGCCATATTGATGTACCAAACAATAGGCAACTGCACATTTTTTGCATGAATATAGAGTTCAATTCCCTTTGTACACCCATATAATGCCGCTGTGACGTCACGTAAAAATGCTCTATAMCTTACATCTGTTACATAGCAGGTTATATACTCTTTTTTAAATATAAGCATCTATTTTATTTTATCRCTTTACCAACCAAGGCCACCYKGACAAATTTTCATGCAAATTAGCCAATCATGATTGAGTATTTCAAAGAATTTATAGAATCTGCACAAATTTTCACATTTTTCTCTTTRAGAGAKATATTTTACTTCATGCATATGTGAKTATGATCAGGAGTGAGCAAGAAACAGTTTAAACTCCAGAATTCAAAGTCTCCGTACTGTTATACACCGAATCAAGATATGCAGGCGACCAATTTGAATAACTAACTGTTCTTGACTGACTTGTGTTTAGTATCAAAAAGGAGATTAATTCTTTTATGAATTTGATTTCAAATTTGTTTRGGTGGCCTTATACATGTCGCACTGCAYATTTAACATGCATTAATAATATATTTTTCAATTTCAGTTGCGTGTGGCGTATGCTGATTTATTCGAAGAAGTTCATTCACTCAAGATGCAGCTCAAAGTCCGAGATGCAAAAATTGACAAACTTGAGAGAGACCACAAATACTATAGCGACAAATTTGGGTTCTAAGGTAATTGAAGTTGATGTTACTTYGGTTTTCCATATTCTGCGAACTCAGACATTCAAAYGGCTTGTTGTGAAATTGGTTTTTCATTTCCGCCAGYCAATAGCTGCATGCAGCTTGTATAACTACTGAGTTCACAGAACATCAAAGACCGCAGTAAAAATCTAGGGTTTAAGAATCAAGTGTGATAGAGCAATAACTATATATTGCTTTTGTCTCACACCTCTAGGACAGGTCGACCCCAACACATAAAATTCTAATTTAACTGTATGTTAGCAATGCTCTGACATTAACTCGGCTCTGAGATTGTTTAGGGTTGGATCTGCCATGACTTAGATTAGCCCAGAGGTTGTTTCAGGGTTTGATCTGTGAGTTAGTAATACCCTGACTTAGATAAGCATAGAGGTTGTTTCAGGGTTCAATCTGTGAGTTAGCCGTGCCCTGCTGACTGAGATCAGCCCAGAGGTTGTGTCAGGGTTCAATCTAATAGACATACTCTGACATTAATTGACCAGCCAAGWGGTTGTTTCCAAGTTAGATGTGCTCTGAAAGGAGTTTGGTTTAGGGTTTAATCTACAATACAATGCTTTATTATTTAATTCTCCCCGTGGGTCAACTGTGAGTTACATGTGTCCTGATTTAGATAAACTGAGAATTTTTTTCAAACTTAATCCTTTAAACAATTTTTCTCCTCTTTTTCAGGACCTCACAAGAACCTGTTTYTCAAGTAAAACCATTTTGTAATGAAAAAAACAAATTCAACGAAAAGAATAAGAGTGCAATGCTCTGCACTTAAATCCCTAAAAAGACAGATTCTTCGAATTTTTCTAGGTAGTCTTTACAATGTATTTTAATATTTCCTTTGGCATAGCTTTATAGTAGCTATGAGAGAACTAAAAAACTTCTCTCAAATGATGGTAGTATAGATTTGAACATATTTTAGGTATTATATATYAATCATTTTGCACAATATTTTTTCAAGTTGAAAAAAAGATAATAATAATAATAATGTATACGAATTTGTTGATTTTTAAAAATTTGTTTGTACATTCAATCAATCAATTAAGTAGTGCTCATTTACGATAAATATGATAATTGTTACCGGCGTTTGCATTGCTAAGCGGCCACCCCAGACAAAAATCGTGACCTGCACTTTGCAATAGACTGCCGTCAATCAAACATGTTGACTCCATTTACACGCGTGTGCGATACAAAGGGCACCAAAACTTCARTCGATTGTTTACAAGTATTATGAGCCACACTCACTGGGCCTACTAGTATCCGAGCCGATCCAAACGCGTRTAAATGACGTCGACTTGTTTGATTGATGGCAGTCTATTGCAAGGTGCATGTCGTGATTTTTGTCTGGGGTGGCCGTGTAGCAATGCAATTGGCTGTAATAGCATATCATAAGGAGGCTGCATACAGGGTCAAAATTGGGCACTGAGATGCAGTCCAAAATAGAATGCAGTTAATAGCTCTCAATCACATAAATACTGTTGGTTGTATAGTATATACTTAGACTGTGAGCACATACTTCCACATATACACCTATTTCAAAAAAATTTGTCGGTTATTGGATATCTGAAATCAGAAATTTTGGACTGATTGGAATTGTGGGGGAGGGAGTGTTTTCTCATTAAAAATTCAACATACACTTACCCAGATAGTTTGCAAGCGCAGGTCATTGCTCAAAGTTAGTATATCAAGTTATTAACAGCTTACAACCCACAATTCCTTTCGGTCTCAGATTTCAGATCTCCGACTGACAACGTTTTTTGAAATAGGTGTATATCCCTGGAGACTCAGTAAAGATGAGTTTTTAGAATAGAGGTTTTGCACTATTACAAGATGGCATGCAGCCATGTTAGAATTGGCAGGATTAATGCAATTGTAATTGCAATTGTCTAACCCGGCAAGAACCTAGACTGCGAGCTAAGTCCCTCTATTTCCCTTGTTCGCTGTCTGTCTGTCTGTCTGTGTCGATTGGTCGAGGAAGGTTGGTTACGAGTCAAAAGTCCTTTCTTTCGTCTCTCCCTCCCCATCCCCCTCCCCCAGGGACTTTTGACTCGTAAACAATATTCCTCAACCAATCGACACGGAACGTTCAGATGGATAGTGACCAAAGGAAATAGAGGGACTTAGCTCTTAGTCTAGCAAGAACCATGTATCAATGTGTGTGCATATGCATGATTACATCAGATAACTGCTGATAGATTACACAGGAAGTCAGGTTATCGCTGGTGTAATATGATTTATGCCGCTCTTTTGTTAATTATATATATTGTGACTTGTTCTATAGATCTTACAGCTGGTATTGTTTTTTGGTATAGTCCCGTTTGCATGATGGCATCATTTTACTACCACTACTAAAATGCTTCATAAGTTTTCTTTCTTATTCAACATTTGTATTCTCTCATGAGAATAGTAAGACAATTGGTGCTAATTAACTGAACAAAAGGAAGTGTGCAAAGGATTACCTATAGACACCTTCCTTGCAGGGGGACAAAACTATAGGTTTCAATTCTCAGGAGATTGAAATTCTTTTGTTTTGTCCCCCAGATTGAGCTGCTTTGACGTCACATGCAAGGGGTCTTTGCATGTGATGTCAGCTGTCACTGTGCTGTATTAAGTATATTTACACTGGAGGCCAGCAAGTCCATATCACTTCCA